GGTTGGTTTGGTGGTTGGTTGGTTGGTTTGTTTGTTGGTTGGTTGGTTGGTTGGTTGGTTGGTTGGTTGGTTGGTTGGTTGGTTGGCTGGTTGGTTGCACCCTCTCAGAATAGGTAGTAGTGCTTAATTTTGGAGACAGTCCAAGACTTACTCCCAGCTCCGACATTCCAAACTGCTGGACAGCTCAAGGGTTTAGACTTCAGGCTGTGGAGCCAAAGGTCGGGAGTTCGATCCCCCCATGATGCTTCCTTAGCAGGAGCTGGACTTGATGATCCACGGGGTCCCTTCCCGGCTCAGCAGTTCTAACTAAGATGATGATGGTTCTGAAGGCTTCAATTCTGTGATCACTTACTGTATTAGGAACTGAATCTTATTGGAACACACAGCTCACTATGCAGGCTGGGGGATTCTGGGTGTTGTAGAATCTTATTGGAACACACAGCTCACTATGCACGTTGGGGGATTCTGGGTGTTGTAGTCCAAAAGGGGTGGCTTTGATTTAGCTGCCACCATGTGATCCCCACAATATCCTGGAAACGATGCTGACGTGTGCACACAGTGCAAAATTAAATGGGCAGTCATCTCCTTCTGTCTGAAGCTTCTCTGAGGACAGGGATTGTGAAATAGGATGTTGCTGCAGATAACTCTGCTGAGAACCATAAACCGAGGGAAAAGGAAGAGACAAAAGGAAGATTCCCCCTCCCGCCCCCACCCTGAGAGCTCTTAAATACCTGGTTACTCTTATTGCTATGGCTTGTGCTCCCATGGCATGCCAGCCTGCACTCTGCACATGGTCAGAGTATTTTTTAAAAAGTTGTGCTGGAATTTTTAACATCAAATAATGGGTAATGTGTGTACCCCCCCTCTCGCCACCCCCCAAAAGCCAGCAGCCACAGGAAATTGTAGTACAAAAAGGTGACTTTTCTTTTGGGGGAGAATGCAGAATCCGTGGGGGGGGGCACCAGAGATGCTGAGAGGAATTTCCTTAAAAAATGATCTCACACAAATATCGTGGATGGGTTGCCATTCCCAGGCTGCTCACCAGTGTCCTTTTCTTCGTGATTAGCTCAGATATTCTGATTTGAGGCTTGTTGTTTAGGGAGTGGGAGGAGGGTTCTCTCTCGCTGTTGTTGGTCAGAGGATGCTGGACTTTTTTTTTTTAGCTCAAGGGGACATAGATTGACATAGATGGTTCTCCCCTCTCCCTTTTGTACTTCGACAACCCTAGGAGGTAGACCAAGGTCAGAGAGAGTAGCCGTTGAGCCTCATGGCTTGGCAAGGAACTGAACCCAGACCTCCCGAAATCCCTGCCCGCAGCTGCCTTTCATGTAATCTGATCAGGCTCTCCTTTGGTTCTGCAAGCGGGGTTGAACGGAGCCCATGCAAAATCCCTTAATTGCTCTTCCTCGATCCATTTCCCCATTGGGTTGCAGTTCCCATCATCCCCAGTCACCACTGGGCATGCGGACTGGGAAGGAACGGACGCTGCCGTCCTATGCCTGCAGAAGGCACCAGGTGGGAGAAGGCGACCTTATCTGTTTGCCCTGGGAGTGCAGGTTTGGGCGATAAAATCAGGAACAACCCGGCCGTGTTGTTATCCGGCACAATCGGCCGCTCACAAGCCCGGGCCGCGCCAAGTGCATGGCGTCTGCTTTCCTCGGTCCGTTTGTCTTGAGGGCAAATCCTAAGATTACTTAGAAAAAAATATATATATTCTTTTGGTTATTTTCCTCTCCAGGTCTTGCTCAAGGAAAGCTTCCGAAGAGATGTGGCAAGAGCCCAGAATAACTGGGAGGAGGCTGGGCCAGCTGTGTGCACACATGTGCCTGTGCAGACACACGCAAACACACCGTGCGCCTGCAGGGATTGTATGTCCGAGCAAGCCTAAACAGGCATTTGCAGGAAATCAAGATAGACAAAGCAGGGAAGGAATGCACGGCGGCCGAAGCCCGAACTCGTGTGCAGAGGTCAAGCCCAAATAATGGGCCACCCTCCCGTTTGTGGCCAGCCTGTCCAGAGCCTGAAAAAGTTCCTCATTTATTTATTTATTTATTTATTATCTGTCTGTCTGTCTGTCTGTCTATCTATCTATCTATCTATCTATCTATCTATCTATCTATCTATCTATCTATCTATCTATCTATCTATCTATCTATCTATCTATCTATCTATCTATCTATCTATCTATCTATCTATCTATCTATCTATCTATCTATCTATCTATCTATCTATCGTACAACAGCTCTCAAAGTCTCCAGGCCATGTAGCCGCTGGCTTAGCTGTTTAGGTGATTCTGGAATATATAATCTGACAAAAAACAACAACAACATATTTCTCACCTTGGAGATGATTTATTATGCACTCACATGCCTTATACGTCCCCCACGCAAACATGTTTGTGTAAATCAGCCCAACTGATCAGTGATGTAAAGAAATACAAGCAAGGCCCCTGGATGTTTTCCAACCCACCCTCCATGGGGACAGCTGGGTCTACAGTTAAGAAGGCGACATAACCAGGTATCGCAGAAGGCGTTTTGGGAATGCACAGTTTAAATCCTGCAGTCAGATCCCATCGGTGCTGTTAAAAATGCATTCTCCCAGAGTTAAAATGTGCATAGGTGTGAGAGAGAAACCAAATCTCCTACTCACCCCATCATCCCTCTTTTGCACGCCCATAACTAGCACCTACATTCCTCTGTCAAATTCTGCACATTTTGTTTATTCCATTCTGGAGGAAGAACGTTCAGGCAGCTTCCCAGCGGGCTTAAATCTTGGCTATTCCTGCTGCCTCGTACGGAGCAAATCAAAGATGGATGAAACAGCTTCTTCATCATGCCGTTGGTCAGCGGAGGCAATAAAAAAGGCTTGATGGTGTTGCGTCAATTTGGGTTGCAATTTTGTACATGAGCGAGGATGAGACTCCAGAATTGTCCTATTGTTGGACAATAGAGCTCCGATTCTGAAGGTCGCTGTTTAAAAAAAATCTGAGAAAGAAGTACTTCTTCAGGAATCACCAGTTAAAAACTAGACTTTTTAACAGCAAGAAGGAGAACTCCCTACAGGTAGAAATCATAGCACACTGGCTGTGATCAGTCCTTTTCTTGCTGTGCTGCATTGTATCATGCAGGGGATGTTGATTTTAAAAGAGGTTTTGAAATAGGTAGACAAAAATGGTATAACCCCACATTCTTCTGCCTCAGTTTGAGCACCTTTGTCTAATGAGTAGACTGGCATTGGGCATTCTCATATTGTTTTTTATAGACAGAAAATAGGAACATTTGTACAGTAAGAGGAAACTTTTTCGCTGCCTTTTGGGGCTTGGCTTAAACATTCTGGGTGCAAATATGATAGTAGAAAAGAGCCATTTGCAAAGGGAGGTGCATTTTAAGGTTTTTAGAATTCCAGTTCATGGTAAAGCATACAGATCTCACTTTTAAGAAGGGTTGATTGCGTAGACGTTTCTTTATGATATCCATTTGCCCTTCTTGCCATGGAGAGATTCTTCTTACCTTGAATCCCGAGTGGAAATTTCCAGCCGCATGGTACTGTGGTGAAGCACTGAGCCACACACACCCTGCCTGTAGCCAGCTTTAAGCTCAACAGAGTCATGCCAAGAATTTTGGAGATATTCCTTTATAGTTTTCCTGTTTATGGGTACAAGCCTGAAGACGTGGATTCTGAATCCATGAAAGCTTGCATTAATGGTTTGATTGTCAGTGGCTGAATAAAGGTGTCACATTCTTCTACATTTTTATTGTGTGAGGACTACATGTCTCCGTTCGGGATTTTTCCTCCCACGTTGGATTTGCCTGCAGGACGAGTGTCCAGGAATTGGTGGGCACTGCAGAGGGTGGTGGCAGGCTGTGTGTGGATGTCATGAAGTGTACCCCACTCGGTTCAAGCGGCACGCTAGCTACTGGCCATATTTTGGGGTCCTCGCTGTGGTTGCAATTCAGGTGGGAAATGATGAGAGTCAAAAGACAGGAAACACATTGCATATGGGTTGTAACAGGTTTAGCTAAATACTACCACCTCGTGGCAAGTTTGGGGGATGCCACGGTTATGATGTGAAATCCCAAGTTGATCTTTTTCGAAAGTGCCTGCATGATGGAAGGAAGATCGAGGCTTTGGGGGTTTAAGACCTCCCCCCCCCCCAGGACTGCAAGTCTGGTTCCAGCGGTCTTCTTTAGCCTTGCCACCCCATATGCAGCTAAGAGCCCTAAAGAGAAAAGCAGAGGGCTTTAGGATCACATGCTAGACTGCCATTCCGGTCTCTTTGGAGAAAGGAGAGGTCAGGAAGGAGCCTCCAGGCAAAATCATGCCCATTTACCCGCTGTTTTTGGGAGGTGGGTTGTATAAAGATCTGCATGAGGGTCAGACTTGGAAAGTGGGATTCTGAAATCCAGAGGCAGAAAACAGCAGGAAGGCTAAAATGTGTCTTAGCTCGAGGGGCAAACGCTTGGGAAGCAGAAAGCCAGGAGAGAGAACGAAAAATCTGGTAGATCTTGGAAGACTCATTCATTTATTAGGGTACAAAAGGTTTAGGAAGCAGGTAAGTGGCTTCATTCAACGCCAACCCAGTCTGCCACAAACGGTTATACTGTAATGCTTTGGGTGAGTCTTGCTGCCATGTGCTGAAACAGAACTTAGCACAATTCCTCTTGGGAAGAGCTTATTATGGAGAAATGACAAGGCATTCCCCACTGAATTCCTAAATATGTTTGGGATGGGAACGCGGGTGACCTGCCGTCATATCTACACTCCACAGTGATGATCTGAAATCCCGGGAATGTGGCTAGCGGGCAGCCTGTTTGGGTCTCCCCACGTTACATTCTTTCATCCGGTGAACCGAAGGGATGAAATTTCTGCTGACATGCAGACGGTTATCTAGACCAGAAAGGAGCAAAACAATTATCATCACGTGGGCCCTGCTGGGTGGATGATGGTGGTGGTATGTGCTGGTGGAGGACCATGCAGGAGTTGGTGTGCTCACACACACACACACCCCATCTACACTGTGAAACAGGGACGAGGAGTTTTGTTGCAGCTTTTTCAGAATAAAAATGTCCCAGCCTTTGCACATTTCTTTATACTGTACTGGGAATGGAAGTGATGTCAAACTAGAAAGCCCAACGGACTTGGGTTTCCATTGACTAGAGTTTCCCCCTTCCCACACCACTTATGGTTTCTGGTACCCTGCCGTGTCAAAGCCAGCCCAGGAAGGACCCACACAGTTTCCCCAGCCCTGGTTGTTAGGAGTGACGATCCTTTGAAGCAAAAGTTCTTTTCATTTGTAATCTCAAGAAGCAGCGCCATGAATGTGGTTTTGTACTGGTCAAATGGCGAAAGCTGGATCTTGTCTTTTATCCCCATTTCTTTTATGCAATCTTATGTAAAGGTATTTATCTTTTAAAGTACACTTTGGGCAGCTGAGGGATGGATGGATGGATGGATGGATGGATGGATGGATGGATGGATGGATGGATGGATGGATGGATAATGCATCACAGGATTCTGCTACTTAATGGGTAGCTATACAGAATTATTCCAAAACATGTCACCCTCTTTCTCTCCCTCCCTTTCTCTTTTGAGATCCACAATGGAAAACATCCCAAAGCTCTCAAGTGAAACGTTTAGTCTAAGTCAAAAAGGTTGCAATGCATCAAGAAAATATCCCCGCCTTCCACAGAAGGCCTTTCTTGTTCCTAAATTGTTGTTTGCATCACATCAGCCTGGAGAAAAGGGGTGGATGGGAGGTACCTCATTGATGGGCCTCAAAGCAAGGGGAAGTAACTATTTAGATGAAAGCTCCCCCAGATTCCCCCAACCAGCATGCCAGCAGCCATGTTGGCTCAAGGATTCTGGGAGGGGTAGTCCGAAAACCTTTTTTTAAAAATAAGATCTGATTTGTATTGATAAAGGCAAAGCACGGAAGGTATTTGAGTTGGGAGTTTCTCAAGCTCACTGCGGGAGCACCTGATACCCGTCAGGGCTGGCAGGGCAGAAGACGAGAGCTGGAGCCAGCTATACCTATTCCACATCTACGCCCTTCACAACCTGCCCTGGTGGTTGAGAGGGATGTTGGAGGCTAGGGGGTGGTGTCCACTATGCCCAAGCTGTAAAAGCAGCTCTAAAGCTGAATATTGTCTACTTTGACTTGCAGCAGCTGGGTTTCCAATAAAGACTGGCGTTTTCCATTGTCCTTGCCGTGAATCTTTCCAACCCGGGACCTTCAGCATGAAAGGGTTGTGCTCTGAAATGGAGCTCTCCAAGAATGGACCACATCTGCGCAGCCCACTGGCCTCCCTCCTTGCCTTCGAGAAAGCAAGTCATGATCCAGACTGCGCAGGCTAACTGGTAAGCAGGGGCGGCCCACTAGGGCTGGGGCAACAATCTGGTCCTGTCCACAAACTGGAGCTGTTGGATTTTGCGTGCCCTCTTTGCCAAGCGGTGTTGACATACACCCCCTTTGTGCTCAGTAGGTCCTTCGGCATTCGTACGGCCCCCAAAGGGGACTCCCATCTTCCTTCGGCCAAAGGGCGTTGTCGTCGTGGAGAGGGGTCGTGTCCAAAGGCTCTTCTGAGGAAGCGTGAAGCATCTTGGGAGATGAATCACTGGGGACCGTGGTCATGAAGGACGAGAAGGGGTAGGGGGAGGCGGTGGAGTAGCTGGTGGCGTAGTGGACGTCCTCGAGAGCATGGAAAGAGTAGGACTGAGTTCCCGGAATGGGTGAGCCCCAGCTGGGATTCCTGTACTGGGAAGAACCGCCCGACTCCTGAGAGGAGAGGCAACCCGTAGCAGAAGGGGCTTGTAAGGATTCTGAACAGGCGTCCGATTGACTGAGGCTGTCCGGCATGGATTGTTCCCAGGAGTCTCTCTGAGAGGAAGACAAAGACCCAAAGCTTACCATTCTCAAACGGGTTGATCAAGGATTCCTACCATATTTGGGGGGGTGGCTACAGGACAGAGGCATGAGGTCCACCTAACATGTGAACATGCTTTTCCAAGGTCAAGGAGCCTTGAACGGCCCAGGCCAGGTTGCAGTCTCTATTAGGTGTTGGGGTTTTGGAATTCATGGACAACACCCCTCCCCCCCCAAAAAAAACCCCACTCTTTTCAGTATCTGCGGTGACCTTCAGCTGAGAAAGAATGGCTTCCCTTGAACACAGTGAAGGTGGAGGAAGTAGCAAGGCCGGACTCGTTGAGAACTTCAAGGCATTGTGGGCTTGGTAGTTTCCTGAGGGGCACCCTGTATGGAGCATATTAGGCAGAGAGAGACTTCCAGGCCCATAATGGCTTGCAGCTCCCAAAGAACTTGGTCCTACCCAGCCACTTCCTCAAGTCTTCATTCCATGGAAACCAATACTAAAAATAAGCCATGCTTTCAGAAGGGACAAAAAGATGCAACAAGTCATGGGAAATGTCACTGTACTAAGCGAAACAAGAGGAACGCTGTACGGATCTCAGGGAAAATATTGAGAACAGCCCGTGTGGCCTAGGGTCAAAGATGACCATTGATATTCTTCCCACTGAACTAAGGCTGCTTCATCTACTCACGGCTAAAAAGTGTGTGGAGTCACTCGGAAAGGAGGGCATGACGGACGTCAGAGGCGAGGCGCCAAAGAGGGACGAGGTTCCAGAGGTAACCGACGTAGCACGATGGTCAGCATACTGGTCAATGAAATGGGCATCTATAAGGGAAGGGTACCCCTGAACCACCGGCGACTCGTATGCAAATGGTTTGGACACGAGGGAGGAAGTGTACACCTCGCTAGAAAGCGGCTTGTTGCTTTGTAAATCCATCTCTGCCACGAGGGACCGGCGAACTCCATAGTAACTAGACACAGCAGAAGCACCTTTGAGCATAGGAGAAATTGGTTACCAACGTATGGGCGAAAGGTACCGGATCAAATCTAATAACACGATCATTATCATTTTCTTTCTTGGGGGCGGTATGGCCGTTAATGTGTTCAACAGCGATTTGGGAGGTTCGATTCCACACTGAGTCATGAGGTGGCCTTCCATCGGTCATTCTGCCTCAGCTTCACCCGCCATGTAGGGGTGTTGCGAAGGTAAAATAGGGAGCACGGGAACCCCACAATACTGATCTGAGCTCCTCCGAGAAACAGGAACTAATAAATAAATTAAATACGGGTGCCAAAGAAGCAGGAGTAAACTTCTGCCTTGGTGGGTCCTTTAATAAATAAGCCATCACGGCAGCAATTCCTTTTAAGGCTGCCTGCTGATTTTAACTGTTTTATTTGTCTCCCGTTAAGTGTTTGACGGATTATTTATTAACCGTATGCACTTTTCTATGCGGTGGGACAGATAGCTCTCCTTGTTCTTCTTCTTTGGCCTTTCTGTCATACCGATTTGTCCATCCATTTAGATTTATATCCTGACCTTTCTTGTAAAGAGCCCAGAGCAGCTGACAGGCTCTATAAAAACATGCTCCTCTCAGGGGTGGTGCAAATCGCAGGCAGTTCTGGGGATTCTGCCACTTTTGCAGGCCTCCAACTCAACCCTCCGCTGCTGGAAATATTCAAATCCATGTTGGCCCTTTTCCAAACATGCCTTCGTCTCCACTCCCACAGCTGGCCAAACTGGGAAAGGGCCCCTAGTCCTCTTCTGGAGGTTTGGCCACCCCTAGCTTCTTGGGGTGACTCCTCTCTCAGTCTAATCTTCCTTATAGGGTTGTTGTGAGGAAAGGAAAGCAGAACATGCTAGGGATGTAGTTCTGGACTACAGACACCATAATTCTCCATTCTGAGAGTTCTGTCTACCTTGCAGACACACTGCAAACATGTAAAAGTGATACAGTCGTGCCTCGCTTAACAATTGCCTCGCTTAATTATAATTATAATTTTATGATCTTATATATTTTTATACTGTTCTGTTTTATTTTGTAAGCCGCCCCGAGTAGACATGGTCTAGAGGGGCAGGGTAAAAATCAAATAAATAAATAAAAATAATGAGGAAATTACTATACGATTAGGTTTTTGCGATCGCAAAACAATGGTTTAAATGGGTTTTTTCGTTTAACGATGATCGGTTCGTCGCTTTACGACGATCAGCAAACAGCTGATCGTCGGGTTTCAAAATGACCACCGGCTGAAGAAAATGGCCCCCGCTGTTTTCTAGGACGGATTCCTCGCTTTACAGGCACCGAAAATGGCCGCTGTATGGAGGATCTTCACTGGACAAGCAGGTATTCAGCCCATTGGAATGCACTGAACAATGCATTTCAATGGGTTCTTTTGTTTCGTTTGATGAGGTTTTCGCTCTACAGCGATTTCGCTGGAATGAATTAACATCGTCAAGCAAGGCACCACTGTACACACTTCCTGTCCCTGCCCAAATGCTAGCTGGGAGCTTTCTTTCTGAGCAGGAAGCTTGGGCAAAACTAGGCCTAGCTGAGCTTCAAAGCCTTCTACATAGTTTAGGCCCTTTTTGCAGGTGAGCAAAACTTAGGCGTTTGCAAGCGGTTTGCAAAGCAAAACAAGTATAACTCCAAGATGGAAAAATGTGGTATCTGTAGTCCAGAATATCTAAAAATCCCTTCCCTAAGGGGCCAGGCTCATTGGGAGAAGAAGGAAAAAAGAGGCTGAAAGATAATATTTCTTTGCACAGATAGGCTTACCCTGCAATGGGGCGAATGGCGACTGTGTTGTGGTGACGCTACCCTGAAAGGAAGAAGGGAAAGGAGAGTGTTTTAAAAAAGGAAATAATTACACTCTTGACTGGGTTGTATCACAGGCATTCCAACAACATGGCACGTTTTCAAGAAAAAGACAGGTTGACTAATTGACTTTTGGTTTTTATATCCACTCCCAGAAATTTCAGGGGCCTTAGTCCCCTCCCAAAAAAGGGAACTTTTTTGAATTCTTAAATTTGGACCATGTTTCCCATGGCACGCTATGCAAAGATGATGCTTTGTAGAAGGTATGTGACTTTAGGAGGCACCAGGTAGCTGCCAACCCAGTCTGCTTCTTGAACTCCTCATCTTCCCCTGCTGGTCAGATTTGCTGGAGTGAAAAGGCATGAGAGGATTGATGTGGAAGACAAGAAATCTCAGCCCGTCATAAAATTTCTGCAAACGAGGTAGAAACTGTTGCAAATTTTTGAATTTCTGGTTAAATTCCTTTAGCTGTGCAGCAGGTGTGCAGAGGTTCACAGAGCAGAATTAGCTTTTAATTCCCCAGATTAGCTAACCCCTTTTTCTCATCAACTGACACTTACAGTCTCAATACATAACTCATTCTGAGACATTAGTAGGAGAAAGAATAAAAGCCATCTTCTTTATCAAGCGTTGTGAAAAGATCAAACAGCAAACTGGCACACACAGCTGCTTTCAGCAGCAGATTCTCAGCAGACTGGACATCAGAGGCAAGGAAGGAATGGTGGGTTAGTGCTGGGTAAATGGGCCATCCCTCCAGCCCGAAAAGGTCCCTCCCAGTCAAACCTACCAAAGATAGCATGCGAGATTGCAAATACTCTGACAAATATATAGCCACTTTTAAAAATTGTTTCATTCTTACGCTTCAATAAATTTGATAGTCTTTGAAGTGCCCCAGTATTTTGCCTTCCCCCATCTTTTGTGTTATTTTCTTTACTTTAAAACACTTTAGGATTGATAAAAGAAAAGCAGAGAAAGAGAGAGAGAGAGAGAAGGAAAAAAATCCATTCAAAAGCCTTCAAACACTCCAGAACAGCCCTTTTAAAAATAACTTTCAAATACTTACATTCACACACAATGTATAGCTCTACTATAATTATCTCTCGCTCTCACTCTCTCTTTTTTGTACAATTCTCTTTGTACAAGAGAAAGGAGAAAAACCAGGGAGGGAGGGAGGGAGGGAAGGAAGGAAGGAAGGAAGGAAGGAAGGAAGGAAGGAAGGACGGACGGACGGACGGACGGACGGACGGACGGACGGACGGACGGACGGACGGACGGACGGACAAAGAACATTTTATAGGTTGCTGCTTTACTTGCAGCTTGCTACTGAACCACAAACTATTTATTATTATTTTTACTTAAAATATTTATATTCGCTCTCCTCTTCAACAGTCCCTAAGGCAACTTTCAATTTTAAAACAAAAAACATTAAAAGCAAAAAACATAAGTAGATTAAAAGATGAAACAGAGTATTAAACAGCCCATCCTTCGTTTAGTGGAGAAAAACAGCTAAAAACTGTTCTCAAAAGGCATCAGAAGCAACACGAAAGCAAAGCAGCTTGGTTTTTTAAGAATGGCTTTTTAGACAGCCGGTGGCTGAGAGAAAGCCAGCGTAAAGCAAGAGGTCCTGCTCAGAACCATCCCATCCCACACAGAACAGGTTACACCAAAGTACATAAACCTGGTTAGGGTGCCGGCGTGCGTGTCTCCCTCTGGGGATAACCCAGATGGTTTCCTAGATTCTAACGCCACCACCCGTTCCCTCCCCCCTCCCCATTAAAAATTAGTTTGACGATGGTGAGGGAGAACTACCCCCAGCAGTTGAAAACCTGGTGTAGAGGCAGAATGGCACCAGGGCCAGTTTGCATACTGTAAACAGGAGCGGCATGCCATCCGTGGCACTCAACCAAATTTAGAGGTTTAGATTTGAATTAAAATTTGCCAGTGTCAAGACTTCCTTTTGGTGACCTGCGCTCGGCTCCCACCTGGACATGGCCTCACTCATGGAAAAATGCTCCAGAGAGTGCATCGCCATTACAAACCACACTTGGGAATATATTTTTAGACATACCCGGACATACACTCACTTGGCAGAGGAGCCAAAGAGCGGAGCACCCCGCCAGTGGTTTAGAGCTGACACTGGTCCTCAGGACTGCGTGGAGAAAGAATCTCACCATGGCTAAGACTTAAGAAGACGGGAAGGCACAGCACAAAGGGGTATGACGGCTCAGGATAATGGAAATTGTGAACCAACACAGCTGGTGGGCACTACGTGAGGGAAGGCGAGTGCTGAGTTATGTTAATTTTGTGTGTGTGTGATTTTTTTTTTTGCCCTATAATTCCCAGAATCTCATCCTCTGAGCTGATGTAGCCCAATAGTGTTTACTCAGAGTGGTAGCAAAGTAGTTGGAAAGACAATTCAGGTCATCGTCATCATCATCATCATCATCTTAGAACCACAGAGCTGGAAGGGACCCTCTGGATGATCTCCTTCAAGGTTCCAGGGGTCTCAGCCAAAGGCTTTCCCATCTACCGGGGAAAATTCGTTCCTTCAAAACTGCCGGGGCCTGGGGCCTTCGCCCACCACCTTTGCTGCCAATCTACAACCCCTTATGGGCTCTTTTGTGAGTTGGGGTTGAATCTGAGGGCGACGCCGTATTTCAGCATGCTCTGGTGGCCAGCATTCCCGGAGTGTTAATTTGCACGGGGTGTGTTTTCGAGTACGAATATCTGCAGAAATCGTTCTTCCCGGGAAGCAATTTGCATAGAGATAGCGACGGAATCAAAAGTTACAACATTACCAGCGAGAGAACGAGGCCTGAAACAAAGATTGCCATCTAAGACGACATTGGCCAGTGGCACCAGCCAACGATACTCCCTTCCAGCCGTATTCCATGACGGTTTTTCAGTCCAGAGCTGAAACTGTGCTTTATCTATAAAAAAGCTTGGCCTTCAAAATCCAGACGAGTATCTGACAGGTTGTTTAGCAAGGGCCCATCTGCTGAGACAAGTATAGGGCTTTGTATGCACACACATCGGCATGTGCTTGGCCCTACCGCATGCTCAGGAAGCATCTGCCCCATCAGAGATGCAGCTGTGCCAAACCGTGTGTGTGTGTGTTGAGCCACAGTCCAAATTCTGAGAAAAGGGCCGTTCCCCTTCCTTATCAGTCGGCCAGGTCACAGCCGCTCACCTGGTGTTTGTTCTTGGGTTCTAGTATCTGTTTTTGCGATCCTCGTGTGTGTACGAGCAGGATAACATCGTTGCAAGCCTGCCTGAAAAACTGTCTGTGCAAATAAGGAAGTTTGCCCTGAACTGTAACTTTTGAATTGGATTAAAGGGGCCAATGGATCACAGCTGCAGCACCCGGACCTGGAGCAGGATGGTGGTGTAGGAAGTTCAGTCCTGGCTTCTGCTCATCTCATGGCCCAAAGCAAGCTGTTTGTTCTCTCGGCCTCTGTGCCTTGTCAATGTTAGCGGGCAGCGAGGGCGGGGGGAGCAAAACGCTGTGCTTAAGACTGGGTGCATGTCTCCTGGTTCTGTTTAAAGAGGCAGGTTTGGGACTGGTTCAGCCCGTTTACGTCTCATCTGACTTGATTTGTGCCCCGGAACAAAAATGATCATGTACTGAGAAACAAAAATGATCATGCACTGAAAAACTGAAAAATGATCATGCACAGAAATGCATTAAAAAAAAAAGGTTTGCCCCCATGTGCATGAATTTGAGAGGCATGCTAAACTCTAAAGCAGGGGAAACCTGACAGATTTCAAACAACGAGCTTCAAGAATTTGTGCACTCAGCAATATTTCGATTTTAAAAAATGGGGGCCAGAGGAGAGCAGAAGGTTGGTGTGGTTTCTGTCCCATGTCCAACCAAATGACTTTAAGCTGTTCGTTTTGACAATGTAGTGACATGAAATCTATTCCCCAGAATAATGATTTCTGCAGATATTCATACTCGAAAACACATACCCAGCAAATTACTGTTCCAGGAATGCTGGCCATGGAGGTATGCTGAAATATGGTGCCACCCTCAAAATCAACTCACAAACTTAGCTTCTCAGTTTGGGAAGATCATCTGGCATTTGGTCCCTGGCCCTTTTGTAATTCATGGACCCTCTTTGACGATTGAGGGTTCCAGATGGTCTCCTGTCAAGGCACCCACTAGATCCAGGGTGGCTTTTCATTCTGATCTCCCCAAATCAGGGGAACTGGATAACTTGGATTTTTGAAGTGTGTGCAGCATGTCTGTGAATCTGTTCCAGCTTTTGGTCTGAGTTTTGCGGGAGCTGTTCAAGGTGCTGAAACTTTTTTTCCCCCAAACCAACTCTGAAACCTTGGACAGTTCCTTCAAAAAAAAAAAATGGTCTCAAACTCAGAGCGCTGGCCCTGCCAGACCAGACTCTGAGGCTCTAGCCATCAGCCATGGCACTGGGAACCCCATTTCCAAAGGTTCACTTACGTTCAACCGTGAGCTGCCGTTTGTCTGTCTGGAACGCTTTTCGGCCAGCAGATCTTTCACCGTGTGCTTGACTCGGACTCCTTGATACACCCGTTTGCTGTAATCTGCAGAGACTAAACCAAGGCAGAGAGAATAAGCAGGGGTACATTGGAAAGTCAAGGAATTCCATGAAGGAAGGTCCCCCCAGGCTAGCTGAGGCATCTGGGAGCTCTTCCACCAAAAAAAAAGTGACTTAATCCAAGCCCTGCATATAATGTGACTCCAGCAGCCCAACCTGGGGGCAAATGGTCATGCTGGTGTGAGGATTTTGGAAACTGTAGTCCTTGGAGTTAATTTTCCTGAATCCTGCTTCAGATGATTTTGGTTCAAATCCTTGGCTTCTTGGTTCACAGACCCATCTTTTCAGCCAATCCGTGATAACTCTTTGCTGCCAATTAGATAAAATAATAAGCTAGGATGGAACAGCTGCTTTTTTAAAATTCTGTTGTGATGGGTTTTCCGCCCCCCCCTCTTATTGCTTACACTGTTCTTAAATACTGTTTGTATTTTTGTTATATTCAGATTGTGAGTTTTTCCCCCCCGCAAATAGGGGGAAAAAAGTAAATAGAAGTTCTGGAAAGATTAAATAGCAGTGGAAGATGGGAAATCTATATATAAACCAATCCACAAGCTGCACAGCGTTCCACTGCAGAAAGACAGCCATATGGCAGCTACACAAATCTCATTGCTTAGTCACGGATTCTTTGGAGTTGTGCCTTTAAACTGGCCATTTGTTTGTCTATTTTCCTTTCAAGTCTGCCCAACCCTGCGCCCATCAGCCTAAGATAATGAGTTTTCCCTTTCAGTTCTCCTGTGTGTTGCAGAAAGAGTCTGCACCTGCAATATGTTGTGCAGGGTGGACCAAGAGCTTTTAGTCAAATGTTATAGACGGGAACTTGATGTTCCGCTTAATCCTTTAGAAAACAAAAATAAAAAGAAGTGGATGAGCACTTCCTGAACTCAAGCAAACATTCCTGGCCAATGGGAGAATGGTTTGAGCTTTTCACACTATGTTTTACATTTCCTAATATAAGCTTGCAGGTGAGGTTGAGTTTGAAAATCTACTCCACACAGAGGAGTATGATCAGAGTAGGGTGGTTGTTGGCTTTTTTTCAGGGTTGGGTCAAAGCTTTATTTCAAGAATTAGATACTCTAGAAGGGAAAAAAGAAGAAAACTCAAAGCCGTTCATCATGTTTCCAGCTTTCTACCCTCTCTCATTGAGGCTGCAAGATGGTCTAAAAAGGCACAAACCCACAGCAGTTTTAGAGATGAAACCACTGACTTCTCTTCAATAATAAACTAAAAATATATAGTATTGAAAATCCTTTTCTTTTTCTTCCAGTTTTCCAGGTATTTTTAAAAAGGCTGCTTCCAAACGTTTGAGATCAGTAAGAGATAACGCCTCCCAGGACAAGATAATTCTGCTTTACAAACAAAACTACCAATTCTTACTCTTTTATTGGACAGTATGGTCCATGTCCCAATACTTCACTATTTTCAGTGTATTGCACAAAGAAATTGAAAAAAAAGAGAAACTTCAACATTTTTCCTTAAGATACACAAGGAATGACCAAATTGATTGGCAGTCAGTTCAGAACCGATAAAAGAAAACCCTCCACACAGAACATAACTAGTTCGTTGACTTTGCTAAATGTGATGCTACAAAAGAAGTGAATGACTGGAGCTTTTACTGTTCTGGACGACAGAGCCCAGAATCCTCCAGGCAACCTAGCTTCACTTGGAGGAGTAAAGTCGGTGCAAGGATTTTGTAAGGATCTTCATAGCTTTGTAAGCAGAATGTTAGCATGCTAGTCTTATTTGGACTGCTCCTCCCAGTTTCTCCCAGTCAACAAGCACCAGTGATTAGGTTAAAAATGGGATTCTGGGAGTTGTAGTCCAAAATAACTCGGTAAAGCTTTAGATAGAATATTAAGATTGGCACAAAATGAACTGTGGACCGAAAACTCAACAAACTGGGCAGGTTAGTGGTCTGTTGCATGGCCCAGTTCAAGGAGCCTGTTTCACCCAAGCAGAAAAAAGCACCGAACTTCCCCCCCTTATCATTTTGTTTGCTTCGTCTGCCCCCTTCCCACCGTCCCCACTGCCTCCACCTGCCTATTCCAGTTGCTATGGGTGCCTACCTCAGAGGCAGCAGATCTAGCTTCCTTGTCAGGAGCCTGCCACTGCCTCTGAAGAGGTGGAACAAGCAGGAGCAGGTAGGGGGCCCCACAGACAGAAACAGGAAAAAACGAACCACATACAAATTCGTTTTTCTGGGGGTTCGTGGTGAGTTATGAACCCCAAACTATTACAAACCACTGTTTTCCCAGTGCATGCCCATCTCCAACAGAATCGTCTGAACACTGTTTTCCTTGGGTTCTAACATGATATGCTGTGTATCTTGAGCAGTGGGTTGTCCTCCAGGTTGGTCTGTTGGTCTTCAGGGTGTCATGCGACACGGAGCCACTACCTTGTCATCTTTCCAATGGCTCGGTCAGATGGATCAGTGTTATTTCCCCCCTCCAAGACGGAGGCTCAAGGCTGCAACTGCGGTGAAGGCACCAGATTTTGGAAGGCAGAGAATTCAAGAGGTGACTCTACTGATGGATGTGAGGAAAATAAATGGCAATCTCTCTCTCTCGCTTGGCCCTATTCACTTTCTTTTCTTTAATTTGTTAAAGTACAAGTTTTGTCTTTCTATGAGGGGTGAACCCCTTCTCCTTTTCCTTCAAGGGGGCTCACACCCACACATTTAGTCAGAGTGGTTGGGAGACCTCCCATGTGGATGGCTCTTGGGGCCCAAATTCCAGGCTACAACTCTGCTGATGCTCCACTAGAACCTTCAATTGCTCAGGGAGTAAGAACTGGAACACGGATCTTCCCAGTTCGTAATACCATCTCTTGATCTCTTCTTTATCAACCCTCGATCTGGCTTTAAAGAGCATTCCCCACCCCTAAACCTGGGAAGAACGTTTCCATTGCCTACACCTTCACTCTAAGGAGACAGTATAGGAGCTCATATATTTTGAATTTTCAAAAATACATATTTCAGGTCATTTTTGCCATATAACCTTTTGCCATCAATCTGTCATTGCGAGTCACACTTACCAGCTTCCATGATCAGCTGTGGCAGTTTAACCTTCTGTTTTCTCTTTTTACTTGGGATAATCAGCCTTCATGAGCTTCGTGTCGGAGAATGACGCTTTGGCAAAGGTGCGTCTCGGTCACGTACAGTTTCCAGCCAAAGAGAAATGGACCCTTTCTCTGCTCCCCTCCCCCACTAACAATTTTTGGTGATGCTTCTGAAATGGCAGACCTGGGATTTGTATACATGCAAATCCTTTGATGTCTGTTTCGATCCTATTTGCATGGCTGCCGAGGCATAGAGTGAAAAGCCTCTTTCACTGGACCGAAATGAAAAATAATAACAAATAAAATGTGGTACACATGATATAGTTAAGAATACTGTATATCTCCTAGGTATAGTAAGACCTGCAGTCTAGCTATCAAATGCTTTTAAATGAAGGTTTCCCGGGTCTTGGATACTTCAGGATTAGGTAAACTGCCCCAAACAATTTGTTTAGATTACTATTAAAATCAATCAGAACTTAGAAAAGTTATTTTTCTGGACTAAAATTCTCACAAATGATTGTTGTTGTTTTTTAAAAAAGAGGAATTGTTCCAAGCTCTGGAATACATATATATCCAAGATTTGTGATTTAGTTACTTACAGGTTGTTTCATGCTGAGGATTAAATGTGCCACCTGCAGACTGATTATATTATACAGATTGATGCATGGCTATTCAAAGGTAAACCCTGTTAAATTAAAAGTGGTGCGCACGCGTGCAGGATAACAGTCTTACAGCACCATCCTATACATATCTCCTCAGAGGCTTTGATAAGTTTAATGGGATTTGTTCTCACATAAGCATGCAAAGGACTGCACTCCCATTAGAATCAGCGCAACGTTGCTACTAGATAAAACTTTGCAGGCCACCCCATTTAATGTCACAGGTAGTTTTTTCCGTATGCTAAATACATCATGTAACCATTGGTGTTATGTGTTGTGAAATGCTTCTGACACATGGCACCTCTAATATAATTTTGAAGGTATATTTTAATTGTATTTTAATTGTTTTATCTTTTTTACTGTATTTAAATTGTTGTCAGCTGCCCAGAGACTTTTGGGTAGTGTGGACAGCATATAAGTTAAATAAATAATAATAATATGAGTTGATCATGGAGTGGCTGGCCACTGCCATCCCCTCGGTGGGTTTCCATGGCTAAACAGAAATTTGAACCCAGGTCTCTTGATGCCAAATCTGCCACTCCGTTAGACCACATCGCATCTCACGCAATATAATAGAAGTTCAATCAAATTTGTGGCCCGTTCTGCAGTCAAGTTGCCTGGAATTCTGTGCTATAAACCAAAACAAACGTGTATGTAAGCACAAATAAAAAAGCAACTATTTCACCCACTCCTGTATCATAATATAGTTATTAGAAGCCTCTTTATTCTCAACAGGTTTGTACCACCAAAAGAGTTTTTTAAAACTTTAAATTTTATCCCCCAATTCTAATTGGAACTTTTCTCCTCTGTTTATTTCATTTTTGATTTTTTAGAGATCATGAAAAATCGTAAGTAAATTACAGGCAGAAAAAAATGGTCTCCTTGTTCATTTATATTGTTTATTAATGGTGTTTATATGCTGTCTCATGATAGAAAGCTTCCTGGGTGATCTGCAGTAAATAAGAACAAAACCATTTAAACACAGTGTAAGACTTAAAACAGTTATGTTTTTAAAAGTATAAATGCAGGAACAGCAAAAGACAGCAGTTGAGGTAAAACACAGGTTTTAAAAGGTCCAGGCTGCAAGATTTTATTTACAAGGTCTCAGTAAATGGAATATTGTTTTGATGAGGCTGCGAAGGTTACAAAGATGGTGCCAGCAAACCCGTCATATCTGCATTTCAAAACTGTGCTAACATGAAATTTTGTACGAACTCAGAATTGGCTAACTCAAACTCAGCCTGAGAATTCTCAGATCTTCAAATCATTGTGTGTTGTTGTTTTGACAATTATTGTTACATTGCATTGGACCCCCTGCCTTCGTCATGCTTAGAATAGACCCATTGAAATCAATGACACTTGCTTGAGTCATTTGCCCCATTGAATTCAATGGGATGACTGTAAACCTGACTAGGCAGGAACTATTCAACCAATTATATTCAGCACAAACCATCCAATTTATGAATAGTCAAATAGGTTGTGTTTACTCTGCTTTGATGGTGAACTGCAGCTGCCAGGAGGTGGATTATATTATGGGAAAGGAGAGTCAGTTATTTACATTGTATCCTTTTTTTCTTTTCTGATGTACCAGTCCATTAAAGTGCAATACACAACATATCAGCTTGCAGGAAAGAAGGTGGATGTTAAACAAATATTTTGCCTAATTTTAGAGAAAATGAATGTGAAAGAAAATTCTATTCACATTAGAGTCTGAACGTCCTGGAAATGTCTGCAGCCGGCTTTCCTACAGAGTGTGGTGGGTGCTTAGATCAAACAAGGATTGATTGATTTATTTAGATCAAACAAGGACTGATTTGCAAGCAGTAGAAGGAAGAAGAACTTTGCAAGAAATCGGCACCCTGATTTACGGTAAAAGAGAGCAGATTAAAGCTGGTGGACAGTTAATTGCTGTGGGAACCAAATTCTGGACTTGAATGACGTCTGATGTGTTTTTTGTTTTTTGCATTCTGTTGCATGAGGCTATTGATACACACTTTCATAGCACAACTGCTATTTTTATTTAGTGACATTAACCACTTCATTCTGAGACCCAGAGTGCTACAAACCCTATTAGCTCTTTCTCAAGATCATTGGGCTAAGTATTAGAGAATGAATATATTTTACAAGAATTTTCCAATATTGTGTTTCAGAAAACCATAACTTCTTTTGTTCTTACTCCTTTTTATCTCTTTTTTCCCATAGAAAGGCTTTTCCCCCCTTAAGATGGCAGCCCTTTTTAAAAAATCAAAATGAACACGAGTCTTCTGGCCTCTTAAAGACTAGCAGGTTTTATGGTTAGCCTTTAAAGTGTCACAAGAGCCCTTGCTGTTTTTTGCTCAACAAATTTGCCCACACCATGAGCTTCCCTGGACGGTGTATATGGTTGTGTGAGGAAATTAATGAGCATTTAGGTAAATCCCGGAACCAACACTTTGAGGATCTCTGTTCCCAGCCGGACCTGTCTCGGCGCTGCTCTCGGCTCGTTTGACAACCCGCCGCGCGACGCTATTGGCCGCCGGGACGGCTTCTGGCGCTCCCATTGGTGGAGAAGATTCATCCGGGTGTTCCGCGGCCGCCCAGCTGGAGGAAGTTGATGCGCCTCTGGCGCTTGGAAGGGAGAGGGGGAAGGAAAGAAACCGACGGTAACTATGGAAACGGGGCCTAGTTCCTCTCCGGAGACCCTGGAATCAAGGCCCCAAAGCCTTGCGTGGCCGGGAGCGCGGGGTTTTTTCCCGGCTGGGCTCTGGAGCGGGGAGGGAGCCGGAGCATCCTTGTGAGGTTCGGCTTGCTCCGGTGGAAGCCCGAGAAAATCGGGTAGGGCGGCGAAGCCTGGCCGGGGCGGCGGCGGCGGAACCGGGAGAGAGACTAGGGGGGTGGGTGGGATGCTTCTCTCTGGGGTGGGAGGCTTTGGGGCATGAAGGGTTTGAATTGGAACTCAGGACCCCGAGCTCAAGAGGTTTGGGTTCTAGTCCGTATGAGACCCCCGGGGTGACCTTGGGGGGGGGAGTCACCCCTACCTCGCAGGGCGGTTGTTGTGAGACTGAATTGGGGGGAGAGGAGGAGGAGGAAAAAAGGCTTGCATTTCGCCTTGATCTTCGGGAAGGGAGGAGGGAAGGAGTCGTTGGGGGCAGGATATTTCTAGGACATGCCCCCCCCTTCTCTGCAACCTCCACTTGGACCCACAAGCGAGTCACTTGAGGACGTTGAGAAGGAATTTCAACCTGTTGAGGAATAATCTGGCCTTTCTCCCCACATGGCCCCTAAACAGGTGCAAACCCAGGGAGAAGTCCGGCCTGTGGGAGAAACACTTCCCTTGCCAGATCATCTGTATGGGGGTGGCACGGGATCAAGAGCCAGAAAAGGGGTTCAGTTTTCTTTTCTTTTTTTTAACTGCATGCATGTCTGCAAATGCAATGTTTGCAGTGCAAAAAAAATGCGTGTTGCAAAGCCTATACCAGTTCACATGTCAAGCAGAAACATGGTATTATAAAATCTCAAGAAAATAATGTGGGATAGGGAGATGATATATAGGGGAGGAGAATACTTCCTCTGTATAGTCACCTATATTAGGTGAGGCTTGCTTTTTGGGGGGTGGGGTGGGGAGAAACAAACAACAAAGATAATTCTTAGTGGGTGGGAGAGCAGCAGGAAAGCTGCCCTTCTCTTGTCTCGGGTTTGTCTTTCTCGAGAGGGTCCCTTCTTGGTCTCCCGGCAGCACCCCCGATCATGCCACCTGGGAAGGTGGGCAGCAAGGACGTCTTGGTGTTGCAGTGTGAATGGGACGCGTGCAGCTTTGTGGCCTCAAAGATGGAGGAGTTCTGCGAACACGTGTCGAAGCACTTGCAGCAGCATCTCCGTGGCAAAGACGAGGAGGAGGAAGAAGAGGAGGTGGATTCTCTTGGTAAGGGACGCAAGGGTGCACTAAAAAAGGGTGACGCCAACTTTTAAACAGGATTGCGCCCATGTTTGGTGCACGTTGCAGCCTTGTTTGTACAAGACCTCTCTAGAGAGCTTTAGCCCTCCCGGCCAAATAATGGGACTGGCTAGAAAATAGTTACTTAGAATATGAGTTGTCTCAGTGAGTGAGAAACTAGAACCCAGGTCTCTTTGGATGGACATCAGGGGAGGATGTGTACAAAGTTTGAGGAACTGATCATCCAGTCTTTGGGGATATATTCCCGAGAATCCCCTAGCACATGCAAACATGCTGGCATGGGGTGTTTCTGGGAGTTGCAGTCCAAAAGGAGTAAAATCTCCAAGTTCTGTGTATGCAGCTCTGTGCATTTTGCTAATAGCTCTGGAAACAGTCAGCTCTTGGCTTCTTGCAGCTTGATTGTGATTGCACTGGGTTGTGGCTTTGGCCTTTCTTTGTTTGTCAGTGTTGAATTTACATAATGAGAGGGTGATACAAACTACAGGTATAGGGGATAACAACTGACGTTGCCAGCCAAGATGTATCTTAGACTGTTTGTTGCTTTAGCAAGAATCATCCCAAGATGACCAAACAAATCATACAGTGGTGCCTCGCTTAGCGATCGCTCCGTTGAGCGACAAAATCACTTAGCGACACTGTTTTTGCTATCGCAAAAGCTATCGCTTTGCGATGGTCCCTATGGGGATTTTTCGCTTTGCGATGATCGCAGGGAAGCGATCATGGCAAAGCGACCCTTTTTGCACAGCTGATCGGCGGTTTCAAAATGGCCGCTGGGAAAACAAAATGGCTGCACGCTGTGTTGCCTCGCACTGAAAATGGCCGCCCCTATGGAGGATTTTCGCTTACAGGTGAGTTTATAAGCCCATAGGAACGCATTAAACGCATTTTAATGCGTTTCTATGGGCTTTTTAAAATCGCTTAGCGATGAAATCGCTTAGCAACATTTTTTTCTGCATGGATTAACGTTGCTAAGCAAGGCACCACTGTACTTTGTTTTCTTCTTTTCTATCCTGTTTCTGTCCAGTTTTGCCGCCACCTCTTGGAGGAAACAAGTAAAGGACAAGCAGCAGTTCTGTAGGGGTCACAACAAGGCACGGATTAATCAGGATTCCTAAATTACTTGGCATCTAAATGTGGTTTGCGGTTGGCTAGCAAACCTTGATTTTTTTTGTGGGGATGGGTTCTGACAGCAAGAGGCCAGGATTCAGCAGAACAGAACCTGTCTTACAGTTTCAGACAACCTTGGCCGGCAAGTGCTGGAAACAACTGAATTGGCCCAGTGAGGCTTCTCGGAGGGCAGTGATCATATGCAAGTCTTATTAGAAAAAGGGAGTGCAGTTAGTAAAGCTTGACACACACACACACATATACTGTTTTCTTGAAGTTGACTTCAGGGTGGTCTTTACAATAAGCATCCTAAAGTAGAGATGGAGAGATGATAAAAGTGGTCTTGTGAAGCCAGGTTGCTGTTCTTTTTCCACTTACATGGCTAATGACGTTTGAATGTTCTTTGAGCTAACACATCCACGTATCACTCTGGGAGGCCCTCACTTACCTGCCTTGTGTGTTTGTTTTGCCTTTCAGAAGAATACACCTGCCTCTGGCAGGAATGTGGGTTCTGTTCTCCCGAGAGCCCTGCGGAGCTGGTCCGCCATGTTTACTTCCACTGCTACCACACCAAACTGAAGCAGTGGGGGCTGCATGCTTTACAGAGTCAGTCGGACCTGGCCCCTTGTCAGCTGGACTTCCAGAGTCGCAACATCATCCCTGAGATCCAGGAGAGCTTCCTCTGCCTCTGGGAGTATTGTGAGGTGAGAGAGAACGGGATGGGAACCGGAGGTCCTTCTGGGTGGGCTGGCACCCTCGGGTGTTGCTACGGCCAATTCAGCTCCCTCAGGAGGAGAGCGAGGTTCTCTTCTCTCTCTGCTTCCCATGGCAACCCATGGTCAGTAGACCTGGAGAGAGAAAATTGAGTCTGCAGTTGAGGTGGAACCTGCTGTCACTACACCTCAACCCACTTCTTCACATGTTTGGCCTCAGCCTTGGAACTTTAATTTAACTTGGCTTCTGTGGCTTCCCCGTTTAGTCAGGATGATTTTTACCTCCTTTCCCCCCTGTCACCAGTAACACAGCCTCAACTTCTTTAATCCTCATCCTGATGATGGGTCCTTGGAGACGGGAAAGCTCACTTTTAAAACAGTATTTTAGTGGCCCAGCAAAGTTGCTACACAGCAAAAGACAAGGGTGTTTTTTTTTGAATTCATGGGGATTTTGGATTAAATGGAGATTTATAGAACTTTTAATTCCTTTTACCGAGCCACATATTTGAAAGCTGCCCATAGCAGAAGTTCTGTGGTCAACTTAGGAGAGGGGTGTGTTTGTTTTCTGCCCCGTATAGAGTGTCCTAGGAGAATATCACCATTTGTTTTTCTTCCCATCAGCGAGCTTTTGACAACCCTGAGTGGTTCTACAGGCACGTTGAGGACCACAGTTTCTGCACAGAGTACAAGGCCATTGGGAAAGAGAACCACATGGTCTTCTGTGGCTGGAAAGGTAGGGCTTAGGCTTCTGTGGGGACTTCTGGTGTTCAGGAAGCGCAGAGTCGCACTCGAAGCCCCTTAGCCCAAAGTTTGAGGGCTGCTTTGGAATGAAACGCGTCCATTTTTCTAGAATTGTTCAGAAACATTTAAGTACCTGTTCAGAGACTGCAGCTACTGTTCAGGGTCTGCTGTGTAAAGAATAATAGCTCAAAACTTTTGCCAGTTTGTCTGTAAGCCACATGAAATGCTAATTTTTCTTGCATGGAAGTATGTGAGATTTTAGATGATTAAGACTTTTTCTTCTCCAAAGAGAACTGAACCATTTGTATGGTTTACTTCCTTTGTTGTGATTGTAGTATATAAGACCCATCTTACCTTTCTCATGTATGTAAAGGCCAAAAAGAAAGCCCCTAAGTTGGGGAAGAAGTGTCTGGAAAGTCATTGGGGGTGGTTTCGACTCCTCGAGTGTCTCAAAGGAGCTGCCCTTGCGTGAACGGATGTATCTTGTGAAAGTGCCGAAAGCCCCTAAGTTGGGGAAGAAGTGTCTTGAAAGTCATTGGGGGCAGTTTCGACTCCTCGAGTGTCTCAAAGGAGTTGCCTTCGCGTGAATGCATGTTATCTTGTGAAAGTGCTGATCCATCTTTGGGCTCAGCCCACTTACGACTCTGAATGTCGCCCCTCGTAGATTGTGATTGCACCTTCAAGGGCCGGTGTAAGTTGCGTGAACACTTGCGCAGCCACACGCAGGAGAAGGTCGTGGCTTGTCCCACGTGCGGCGGGATGTTCTCCAACAACACCAAGTTCTTTGACCACATCCGCAGGCAGACAGCTTTAGAACGTAAGTCCTTCGTTTCATCTTGTATCTGGAGTTCTTGGTTTGTTCAGAAAGGCTGTACCTCCTTTTCCCCAGGAGACCGGCTGTATTCACAAGGGAGGAAAACGATACTGGGTGTTGGGGGGGGAACTTGTTTGGTACATTCTTTTGGGAAATCCCTCCTGATGTCCCTACATAAATTAGAAACATGCTTTAAAAAATAAAATTGATAAAATGTAAGTTGGAATTTCTGGGATAACAAACAGTGTCTGAGATGACAAGGGCCATCACCGTTTTGATACAAATTGTATTGATTGACAGGCATCTCCACAACCAGCATAGTTCCGCGTTGCTTCAGTTTCGTAGTTATCTCTGGAGAAAAAGCAAAATGTAGTGCTTTTATGCTGCCTTAAAGCATTCTCTAGGCAGTTTTTGCAATTGAATGATACAGGTCACGCATTCCCCCCCCCCAATCCAGCAAGCTGGGTACTCAGTTTGCTGACCTTGGAAGGATGGAAGACTGAGTCAGTCTTGAGCTGGCTTACCCGATTCCATCAAGATCAGAGTTGGGCCGTTAGCGGAGTCTTGACCGCAGTGCTGCAGTTTAGCCACTGTTTCACAAAAAAGGGTTTGAATACTAGAAAGAAAAACAAGCGCTCAGAGCTGCCCTGTTTGAGCTTCTACCTTCCATATGGCCCCTTCGTCCTCACCTGCTTTTCCATCCATACAGAACAGCGATTTCAGTGCTCCCACTGCTCCAAAAGATTCGCCACGGAGAGGTTGTTACGGGATCATATGAGAAACCACGGTAAGCAGTGGTGGCGGTAGCTTTTCCCACTTCTGGCTTCTTCCCTGCCTCCAGATCTCTTCTCCCAATGAGCCTGACCTCCTTGTTTCTTTTGCACAGTCAACCACTACAAGTGCCCGCTGTGTGACATGACCTGCCCTCTGCCCTCGTCTCTGCGCAATCACATCCGTTTCCGGCACAGCGAGGAACGGCCCTTTAAGTGCAGCTACTGTGACCACAGGTAAAGGGAGGCTGGCCAGGGGAGAGGGGGGCCCGGGGCTTCCAGAATCACGGGGCCAGGTTTTAAAAAAAAGAAGCCCTGAGCAGCTGGCAAAGGGGCACTTTTGCAATTGGCATGAAAGAGGTTTTCTTTTCTTTTTGGTGGCCAGCTTTTTCTTCCTGTTGTAAAAACTGTTTGGCTACTTGTCAGCATTAGTAGGCATCAGACCAGGATTGAAAGCAGACGGGAAACAGAAAGTGTGGATGTTTAAACAGAGTAGAAAGCAAAAGGCAACTTTTGGTCTCTTAAAGAGATGTGGTCTCTTAAAAAAAAAGAAGGTGGTTCTGTCTGTCTGTAATCCATTTTAGCTCTCTAAAATGGAAGGATAAACTTAAATGAACCCTAGTGGTTTGCTCTATTAAGTAATATTCACATTATTCAGAAGGTCTGTTCTGTGACTCAAACCTTCCCTAACCTGGGCTCTCCTATGGTATGGACTACATGGTCCATCCCTGACCATTGGCAACATGATGTATGTTGTAATCCAAAATATTAGAGCACTAGGATGAGAACAACTCTTAGTCCCACATTGTATTATTATTGGGGTAGGCGAGTGAAGTCAGATTTTTAAAAAAATTATTTAGGATGGGCCATCCTTCAGGGTAGAGTTTACTGGATGACATATATATTGCCCTAGTAAAATCCACAAACATGTATGTAGAAAATTAGCAGAGACATTAACCAGCAGAATGCAGTCGAAAGAAAGTAGTTAAGGATAATGGGCAATGCTTATGCCAGAGTTTTGGATCCTGTCGCTTTCATGTTCCTTTCAGCTGTAAGAATCTTATTGATCTGCGGAAACATTTGGATACACATAGCAAAGAACCCGCTTACCGGTGTGAGTTTGAGGCCTGCAACTTCAGCGCCCGGTCCCTCTGCTCCATCAAACTGCACTACAAGAAAGTCCACGAGGTGAGAAAAGGGAAGGAGGGGAATCGCCAAGCGACACCAAGTCTTCCCAAAATGCCCTGATACCTGGCCAGGATTTCTGCCACTGAAAGCCATAGCTGAAATGAAATTTCTCCATCAAACTGCACTACAAGAAAGTCCATGAGGTAAGAAGAGGGAAGGAGGGGAGACACCAAGTCTTCCCAAAATGCCCTCATACCTGGCCAGGTTTTCTGCCACTGAAAGTCGTAGCTGAAATGAAATTTTCCATGAAAGCTCATGTGAAAATATAGCAGCTAGTCTGTAAGGTGCCGTGACATTTTTGTCTTCTATATTGTTTATTCTTCTTCTTTTTTTCCCCTTCTGATAGGCAGGGACAGACGAATACGGCTGCCTTTTCTAAAATTCCCCCCGGTGAGCTTCTTACGCCTTTCCTTCCTCTTTTTGCCCCCTTCAGGGTGACTCCGAGCCTCGGTACAAATGTCACGTCTGTGACAAGTGCTTCACGCGTGGGAACAATCTCACTGTGCACCTTAGGAAAAAGCACCAATTCAAGTGGCCTTCAGGCCATCCCCGCTTCAGGTACATGGGTTTAAGGGCAATTGAAATTATGTTCTTCCAAGATGGTGGTTTTAGTGGGTGGCCCATGATGTAGGAAGACGTTTGGGAGTGATTTTCTTGAGCGGGTGGTGCAAGATTTCCCCCCAGCAAAGGAAAGCTCCTTTACAGCTCTGCTCAGCCAATGGCTTCCACGATGTACTCCAAATGATATTTGGAAGGGAGTGGCCACTGCTGGCCAGCCAGTGGTTCAAGGATTTCCACTCAGCTTCTGCCCCCCCACCACACCCAGAACACAAGCCGTGGGAGAGGGTTACAGTTTTGTTGTCTCTTTCTTTACAACCTCCTGGAGACACCCAGTGCCATCCTCAAGTAGGAGGGGGGGTCACTGGTGGAAGGGGCTTTGGGTTCCAGCATGCGGGGAGTTGTGGTGGGCAGGAAGATCTTTGATGGAAGAAAGAAGAGGTTGTTGCAACACCTGGCAGCAGGAAGTGTTCACCTTAAGCAGAGCTGAGGGGTATTGTCGGATGGGACCATCCAGATTTATAGGGGTCTTCTGTGAAGGTAAGATTGGAAATTTCCATATAGTCACCGCTAGGTGGGGCAGCTGCTGTCTTCTTGGCCTCACAAAAGGTGCCCGTCCTTTCTCAGACAGGCGTGTGACCCATTTCCTGCTAAGGTAGCCTCTCTTGCTAGGGTAGATTTATGTTCTTGTATGGAGCTACATGGAGTCCGTAAAGCAGATCATCATAAATAAATGTTCTGGCCTGGTGAGGTTTCACTGTGCAGAATCATGTGCCCAAGAAGTGGCATGACTTTCTTCTCATGCACCCAGCAGCCGTCCTTGAGCTGTTTCCTGTTGCCGTGGAGGTTCCTGGATCAAACAGCTTTTGAATTCGTCTTCCTTGGCCTCCTGACCCCGTGGCCTTGCCCCCCCCGGATGATGACCTTTTCCTCTGCCACCCACCTAGGTACAAGGAGCACGAGGACGGCTACATGCGGCTCCAACTGGTCCGCTATGAAAGCGTGGAGTTGACGGAGCAGCTGCTGAAAGACCGGGAGAAGCAGGGCGAGGTGTTGGACGACACTGGCCAGTGCGTGGTGCTGGCGGGAGCCGAGAGCAGCCTGCAGGGCATCATCCTGGAGCCGCCCGCAGAGGAGACCCCTGACCCTGACCGGCAGGCTGCCACGTCTCCCCAGGGCTCGGCTCAGCCATGTACAGACCAAGAACTCAGTGCCCCATCCAGCCCCATCATCCGCGTGGTGAGCAGGACCAATGAACACGGGGAGAGCGAGACGGTCTACTATGTCATGGCCAACGCGCCGTCTGAGAATCGGGGGGCTGTGCCGAGCGGGTTTGCCGCCGAGTCGGAGGAGACTGTGATGGACCGGCTCCAGAAAACGGCAGAGGAGCTGGGCATTCAAATTGTATGAGGCTCCTGCTCCTGGAGGGCACTCCAGGCTTTCCCCCCACCCTGCCCCAAGTCCCAGGTGGCTGGTCTGGAAGAGCCCATGCCTCCGTTGGGCTCCCTGCCTCTCTTCAAGGACACGTCATGAAACCTGAAGGCCTGGCCAAGGCAGGAGGAGACGGCGGTGCCACAAAACAGCACTCCAGGGACCCCCGTTTCAGTTGCCCTTTTCTTTCTGTGCCATCATGGGCTGCCCCTTCTGCAGCCGTGTATGAGCTGTGGTTTCGTGGTGGGTGGTCTTGTAAGGGGGAGCGTGACCCTCAAGCTTCTAGAAGGGACACCTGGAGGGCAGGGATTAGTTCACCAGTGGGGGGGGGGAGGATCCTGTTACATCCCTTGGGCCACGGAGTCCGTCCTGGGAATTGTCCCACCTTTTTTTGTCTGTCCTTCAGGAGAATGACAAGACCAGAGTTTCCCCCACTTCTTCTGTTGTGGTCACCTGCTTTCTCTTTAGCCAGGCTCTTGCTGCCACCGTGTGTCCCCATCCTTGCAATGAAATGTCATCCAGTTTCTCTGAGCTTCCACCTTGCAGAAGGTCTGGCCGATGTAATAACAGGGCAGGCCACTGGGACAGGGCTTGTCTGTGGTTTCCACGAAGAACCCCTGCCTGCCCCCCACGTATGACATTATCGTGCCGGCAGGATCTTCTGCTTGGTAGGATCCTCGTCAGCTTCTTCCAGACCTCTCTGCATTCAAGCGTTCCAAGAGGGTTGCAGCTGCGATGATCCTCGTCACTCGTTTCCCCCAGGCAAAGAGCTTGGGGCTTTGAAAGCCTGCCGTTTCCCATTGCCGCTGCACCATGTCTTGCTTGCCACCTTGTCTTTACCAGGATGTCTTTGGCACGTGCTGTCTTTAAGCCACCAGAGCTTCATGAGTTGGCTTGAAGTCGGTGAGTTTTGTGGACTGAACCGCCTCTGCCCTGTGATCGAAGCTGCGCAGGACGGAGCGCCCAGAAATGGCTCCCACCGCCATGAAGTGGCAGAGCAAATAGCGGCATGTCTGTGGTACCGATGAGGATTATTCTGGCCGAGGGGCACTTCCCCCACATTGGGGTTCCAGCTCCCGAGTTGCAAAGTTTGCATTAAGACAATAATAGGGTAATAAACATATTGATAATTTTAAAAAGCACAACCACATCTGTGTGTCCTTGTCTGAAGTGGCTTGCCATCTGCCCAGGCGATCAAATCTCTTTTGCAAAGATTTAGGATTAGATTTGGTGGCCACCCTTGGTGTCCGGTGAGCCACCGTACTGGTGCCGGGAAGGAGGATCTTCTGTTTGAATGCCTGTTCTGGAAGTGGGTGAGGATTCCCTTCCTCCACTGCGTGTGCCTTGGTTTGCTTCTTGAATCCCCCGCAGCAGCTTGTGCTGCAATTAAAGCTTGCAGACGTTGCTGTTCTTGAATTACGACTCCCAGACTCTCCCGGCCAGCCGAGCCAGCGGTTGGGCTTGTGGTTGGTTTCTGGGAATTGTTGCTTTAAAATGAACTCTCATGGCTCTTCTGTCCTCGGGTCAAATGTCCCAAACCAAGGGCTCACCTAGTTTTAGGATTGTATTTTGCATTGGCTGCTTTTCTTCCTTGGGATTCATCCAGGATATCCTGGGAACAAGCAGCGCTGTTGGCTGTGCTGCAGAGTTCTGTCTCCGGAGAAGCCGAGGGGAGCGTTTCCACAAACGTTCCTCCCACCTGGAGGGGCCGCCCTTGGCCTTCTCGCCACCTCAAGGGCAGCCTCGGGCAGCGACCCTTTGAGTTTAAGAACATGGCGTTTCCACAAACGTTCCTCCCACCTGGAAAGGCCGCCCTTGGCCTTCTCGCCACCTCTTGGGCAGCAACCTCTTGAGTTTAAGAACACATGTCCTCTCACAACATAAGGGCTGTGCTTTTGGGTTGCATCTTTGTCTTGTGGTCCTCCGGGCCCTCTTGGTGCTTCCCGTGAGACTTTCACAGGTCAAAGAAAAGAAATCGGAGGAGACGGGACAAAGTCAAAGGAAGCTGAGACGGTGGCCTCTAGTATCAGAGAGATGCAACCTCATGCTCGGCGCAGCTCATGTTCGTGGGCTTCACCAATAAAGGTGGAACGAGAGGGATTCCCTTGCACCCATCAGAAAAATGGGGAAATCTGCCTGCTAGGAAGTGGCAGCATTTCCTGATTCAATTTAAAAAAGCGAAATCTACTTGTAGCTGGCCATTTTCTCCTAACCCTGCCATTGCCTTCTTGATCCGAGAGAGCCCACCGAAGCGAGGAGCCTTCTCCTAGCAAAGCCGCGTGTAATCGTATTATCCAGCTCTGGTCAGTGTTCACCTTACAAGGAAGCTTGCCTTCTGTTCAGAGGTTACCTCGGGTTGCTCCCTCTGAACTATACTGCAAGCTCTCGAGGCACCATAGCCTCACAAAAATCCAGAAAAGCGGGTTCCAGTAGACAGCCAGTCGCGGTGTTATTTGGAACTTCCCAGTCTTGGGCCTTTTAAGGATTAAACCTTTGCCGGAATGTAGAAAATGCCCTTTCTGTGGCCATAACACCCCAAAATCCTCCTGCCAACGTGCCCAGAATTGGCCAAATTGACTGGAAGATTCTGGGAGTTGGAATTTTTGAAAGTTATTTTTCCGAGCTTTGACCAGAGAACTTGGGGAGCGAGAGGGAGACTCCGGGTTAGAGTCTCTCTCCCCATGGCTGCATCTGCTGTGCAAACTTCCAGGCCCTGTAAATCCTGCAAGGTTTCTTCAAGCAGAGAGTCAATAATCACTTTGGGATTATCTATGGTGAGGATGGGTTTAGATGGATTAATGGAAGCTTCCCAACCTCCCCCTATGTTAACGTGATTCCTGCTCTGTGCAGGATCTTGGCTGCGAGAAGCCAAGATCATTTTCTCTGTGTTGGGAATGGATCTGGGCCAGCGCCAGGCCCTCGGGCGCCCCCTCCAGCGTGGCCGAGCCCATGGGGGCAGGTGAAGAAGCTTGATCCCCAAACGCTTGGGTTTTGGAAGAGTCGGAGCAGGGGGAATGGAGGGCTGGCCCCTAATGCCTTCTGTGGGGCTGGGAGTCCTCTTCCTCCTCCTCTCGGTGTCTGAGTTCCTCTCGTGTGAAGAATCGGAAGGTAAGTCGCCGAGCGCATGCTTGGAAGGTAAGCTTTCCCACACGTGGCTGGCAGCCATGTCCAGCGCTGTCTATCAGGGTTACGAAGGATGGCATTTTAAATCCACGGTTGCGGAAGGCAGCCGAGTCTGGCATCTTTGCATGTCAACTATGCAAATGCCATTTACAAGAGGATGTCCTTCAAGTGGCCGAACCAACCGTTGAAATTTCACCTGGGCTCTGGAAATGAGCCCGGGCAACCTGCGGCCTCACCTTCAGTGGGTGGTCTGTGACACGACCCTTGAGTTGAATTCTAGTGCTAGAGAAAGATCACTAAAGATTCCCCTCCTTTTTCCTCCGATGCACATTTACAATAAATGCAAAGTCAACTTGCAGGGCAGTTGAAACAACTCGGCAACATTTTTCACAGGAAAAGCTATTGTATATTGTACTTTCTTACCTTTTACTAAAGTAGTATACAAATTAGAAATTTGGTGCATTTTTTACTGTCTTTTTTTTTCAATTGGCATTTAAAATTAAAATATAGTAGTTTTTTTTAGGCCTCTTCGCCATATTTCAAGGGAAGAACTTTAAGGATTCCCCAGAGTTATTTCTCTCTCTCTTCCCAGACTTAAAATTTAATAGCATTCAAGAACTGGAAAAGCAGAGGAGGGAATAAATGGAATATTCAAAAAACCAACTCAAAAATTTGGAACTAAATTGAAACGGACCTATAATATTGGTGATTTTACTGCTTTTGAACATTTTAATTCAGTTTTTAAGGGGGTTGTTTTCTGTTTTACTCTTGTGCTTTCTATACATTTTGTTTGATGGTGACGGGATTGGTTTTGAGTTTGTTTTTGGCTGTGTTGCCAGTGTGCATTTAATATTTTTAAAAAATGGTATTGAGTTATGGTATAGTTTACTGACATATAAGGAATTTAGCTAAACACAAGATTACTAAGCCAACTTATTCAAGAGATGTACCAAACTCTCTTCTACCCCCACTGCCGATATCTTAATTGCAGTTGCTCTTGCACCTGTTGAACCTGGCTGGCGAAATGGTTAAATTTTGGACATAATCGGTGGTTTGCTGGGAATTTCTTATTTAATTTTTAAAAAATCATTTTCATGTTATGTGTTTTATTTATTGTTGTAAACCGCTTAGAATAGTGCACTGCACTCACGGCTGGTTTTATATGAATCGAAGAAATAAATGAATAAACAAACCTTCTGCTTCTTTTAGTTACCCTGGACACCTACTGGTCCGGAACAGCTCCCATCTGCTTAGGTGGCTGTAAAGGAAAACATAAAGAACTGAAGCGAAGCCAGTGCGGGAACGGAAGTTGTTGCTGGCTCGGGTACAAATCCTTCTGCCGAGGTACGAGCTGCTTGACGGCCCATGTGGCCAGCCGAGGGTCTCTCTTAGTTCTGAGTTCAAATTCCGCATCAACCAGCTGAGCAGGGCAAATGCCCTCAGCATGACTTTCTTGCCCCAGTGAAATCGGGACCAGGGTGGCAGGCATGGGCTTTGACAAGGGCAGGCGTCATTGAGGCCGTGAAGCATGTAGCGGATCACACAGAGCGGTCACCTGGAGAAAAGGAGGCCATGGGAATTACAGAAGGATTAACCTTTTCGAAAGGGCTGATCACAATTGTAGAGGACGAGGCACTGCAAACCGGGGATGGGGTGTGGAGTCGTGGGACTCCCTGTCTAGTCAGACTGAAGTCCCACCAGTGACTTGACTTGGACCCAATTCGAGTCTCCCCCCCCCCCGAATGAATTGGACTCGAGTAAGGACTCACCCACTCCTCCCTTTTTTTCCTGGGGGAAAGCTTGTTTTTCATAGGGACTCAGACTCGGGACTTGGGACTTGGTACGAAAGTCTCAGACTTGGGACTTGGGCCCAAAGACTCACCAACATCTCTGCTATGAGCAGACATTAGGTATAAGACTCAAACTAGCCATTGTGGTGCATTTGAAGTAATGGAAAGGTAAGTTTTAAAACTACATCTCCCAGGCTTCTAAGTTGGTAATGTTGACCTTGCCTTCCAGGCTCTTCCGGCTGGGCCCCCGGGCGCTAGATGCCCCTGGCAATCAAGGGGTCCTTGGCCAGAACCGGGTCTCCCTACGTTGTCCCTACCTGATGGTTCAGTTATCTTAGAAACACATCCACACACCCACTTTGGGATCAAGGAAGACTGGTGGGGGGGGGAAGAATGCTGGGAATTTAGCCCCAGAAGTACTTTGAAAGAATGATGCCATTTGACTCTGGGAACGTGCAAAGTGCCCTTCCTAATGGAAAGGAATGTTGGGAGTTAGAGTCCAGTTTGAGGAAAACTGTGTGTGACTTTTTTGCTGCGATCCTTCCTGAAGCATCAGGCATGGTCTGTGGCTCCCCATAGTGGCCAGTTCTGGTAAATACATTGTGGAAATAAATATAAATATGTATTTCTGGGTTTTTTTTAAAAAAAAAATTAATATTTTCAGGCAGCGGGTAAGTGACTCTGTGGCTACTGATCTCACAGACAGCAGGGTCCTACTGTAATGGATTTCGGCTTATGAGGACAAGGTCCTCTAGTAGCAAAACATTGGGTCACGAATTCGCCATGTTTGAGAAGGATGAGCAGGAATCCACTCTTGACCGCAGCCGCCGTAGGGCGATGGCAAACCCAAGGCCGGCCTGCTTTCTTTTCTCAGTCAACTGCGGCCGGCCGGAAGCGGAGTTCAATTCGGTGGTCTACGGCAACGATTGGTGGGTAGGATCCGTGGTGCGCTACAACTGCCGGCCCGGCTTCCTGCTGGTGGGAGACCCAGCGAGCGCCTGCCAGTCGAACGGCCGATGGACCCCCAAACCGACTTGCCTGCGTAAGTAAAGACCCCCCGAAAAGGAACAGAAGTGGGAGTGATCCCTAGCCCCAAACTGGAGGCAAAGCCCAGAGGGGTAAAAACGGTCGGATCCTGCTTCGATCATGTCTCGTTCTCCTCTCTGTCAAGGGATCTGCCTTCAGGGCCGGATAGAAATTAATGAGCGGGACATTGACGGGAGCTGCTCCTCCACCTGCCCCAACAAAGTCCACCTGGGGGCTTTTCTGAATCACGGCTGCCTCAAAATCTCCTCCTGCGTCACCAAGCAATCCGGCTGGACCCGCTGGTTTTTCTGCTGTGACTTCTGCCAGTGTGACTGCTACGTCGCCTGCTGTAAGCGATTCTGCACACCTGCGCCAGCCCTGGGGTGGGTGGGCGGGCGTGGCAGTGCTGTGATGCAGGATCCGTTCTCCATCATCCCCAAGTGCAGGACGCATCACAATGGGCTCACGTTACAGGAAGCCAGATTGAGGCTGAAGCTCAGGAAAAACTTCCTGTTCGAGCAGTACAATGACAGAGCCCATGAGCTCAGCAGGGGGCGAGCGCTCCAACGCTGGAGGCCTTCAAGAGGATATTGGATCACCCTCTGCTTTGATGTGAATCCCTGCCGTAAGCAGGAGGTTGGGCTCGATAGCTTTATAAGCCCCTTCCCATTCTATGATTCCAAGAGCAGAAGGCTGCCCCAAGGAAAAGAGGGAGTTAGCGATGCACAACCCCATGAAGCAAGGCTGCCTATATTGGTGTAACTTATCCACTGCTCCTTTGACTCATGGGGAAGGCGAAGCTGGCTGGGGATGATGGGAGTTGTAATCAAGGTGCCTGGCTCGAGAAAGATGTAGAGAGTCTTCTCGGCAATAAGATAGAATTCCCAGCAAGGGTACAAACCCAATATATCTGTGTCATATTCTGTTTTGCAGCTTCCTCCGGATAAAACACGGACAGAAATCGACACTGCAACACGGAACGCGGCCATCTTTTCTGTAAGCTTTAGACGTACATCTGTTTACGGCTGCCGCCTTAATGCTGTTAGAATAATCCCTTTTTTAACCTTTCAAGAAAAATCTGTTTAAAAAGAACAACCCGGTTCTTTATTATTGTCATCTACATTCAATCCACGCTGGCTGGACAGCTTGGTGGTTGAGGTCTCTGGCTGTGGAGCCAGATGTTGGGAGTTTAAATCCCGCACTGGGCCTCCTAGGAGAAGAGCCAGCCTGTGTAGCCTTGGGCCAGCTGAACAGCAGTCCCAGGTCACCCCCAGAAGAAAGGAGAGGAAAGCCACTTCTAAGCATTCTCTACCTGGTATGCCCTGGAAAAAGAATGGACTTGACTGCACCCAATTATTATTTTTATTATCAAAGTCATTTATGTGCCCAAAATTATTAGATCACAAAGCATTTTTTAAATTATGGAGACTTTTCCAGTGATATGCAATGCACAGTAGTGAGAAGTTTAATTTGAGGTTAGAGATTTACAAACATTAGAAATTTTTCATTCCAAGTTTCGATCAGTTGAGGAAATAACCTTCGCCTGTTTTTCCTCTTCATCACAATTAACAATTCAGTCGTACGGAAAGGCATGCAAACATGGCAGGTTTGTTTACATTCATTTGTTGCCTTAGCTAATATCTTTTTTGCAAATATGGGTAAGAGAGAATTCTAATTTTTATCTTTTTGATTTCAGCAGGTCTTTGGCAATCCTCATTTTCTGTAGATTCAGACATGCGGCTGAAATACTTCCCTGGTCGGTCCCCTTTTCTCTACCTAATAAATGTCTGGCATGGAGGTGGTTTATGATGACCAGATAATTTTTAATTATCCATGAATAAATCCCATTGCAGTGCATGGCTTTTGTGTCTTTAGCAATTTGGAACCATGATAGATCATCTGATTTCCATGCAGAAGGTATTAGGTTCAATTCTTGGCACCAAGGATCTCCGAAAAATGACCCTCAGCCTTTCAGACCTCTCTGCAGTGGGATTAGAACCGAGGGCTGGACAAAGGGCAGCTGACCGTCATCTCATCTTGGAAGGAAGGAAGGGAGAGAGAGAGAGAGAGAGAAGCAGAAGAGAAATTGGAGGCAGGACTGGGACTGCATGTTTACACATAGATTGAGGGGGTCACCTTGTAGCCCAGCTATAACTCTCTGCAAGGGTCCCACAGGGGAGCCTTTTCATCATGTCCCACTTTGCAGAGATTCTGCAGCAAAAATGGCGAAATCTGTTGCATGTTAAACACACCTCAAGCTGTATGACTTGACTAGCAAACGGATTGCCACGCAGACAGACAGAGATCAGCTCCGGAGAAAAGATTCCTCATCTTTTTCTCCTCCACAAGTTTTCTGTAGTGAGAAATGACACAAAAGGAAAGGCCTGAAAAGACGTATGGGTCGAAGTTGACTTTTGAACGCGTTATAAAATTAAGTGCAAAATGAACTCAAGTGGCCCTGGTTGGAGTCCCCTCTGGATTATCCCCGCTTGCATGATGTTCTTATTTCAATTAGTCTTTATTTTGAAATCTGCAGGGTGGTTTTCGAATTTGTTGCCCAAGAGAAGTAGAGAGAACCGGGTTAGAGGTGGAGGGTCCGGCGACCGGACCACCTTAGAGACTCCACCTGGCCTTTGTCCCTCGGTCACTCTGGAGGGTGACCAAACGGTCGGATGAGTTCCAGAGTTTCCAAGCGGAGTGGTCAATAGAGATCAGAAGAACTTGCGGCTACAGGTTAAACCCACCAGGTGCTCTCCGGAGGTGGCTGGCTCTGGGGCAGAGAGAGGGGAAGATCTCTCACTGTGCTCATGACGGTTCTCTCCAGGAGGGGGCAGATGAAGGCCAACCACCAGGGTGGGATCAGACCTGAGGCTGTGAAGGAGGTCCTACCTTGTTTCTTTCACGGGGTTTTAAATATATCTTTCCCCCTGAATCCCTGCCTTCTGTCCCAGCCAGTGGGAAGGCCTCCCATGCTCCACTGCCCTTGCTCTACACAATGACTGCACTGCCATCCCTGCTCCACAGAACGCCTGGGCAGAAAGCCCTGGGTTCCCATCTCAACATCTCCAGCTAAAAGGATCAGGTGCCCAGGGAGAGCTCCACTGAGCTCAAGAGGGCTCCCCGCCTGAGGCAAGGAGAAAACCGCCCCCACCACCAAGCCCCTGTGCCATGGAGAGAAGGTGAATCTGACCTCAATGCTGGAGGTGGACGGGTATCCACCCTCATGGGAAAGAGCAGGTCTACGCCATCTAATGAAAGAGCCCAAGACCACGCTATGAAATCCTGGGATTTCTAGACTGGGGAGGGGCTGAAAAGGTTCAGTAGGAATAATCTGAGAAATTTCTCTGCTTGCTGGCGTTTTTCTTCACATCCCTCGAACAGAATCCTCTCCTGCCTGGGCGGATTTGGGGGAACTGTAGTCCAAAACAGCGATGATGCTTTGGTGCTCGGTTCCTTGCCGTTTCCACGCTGCTCTGGCACAGGAAGCCGTTGGCAACAGATGGCGATTGTCAAACCGACGCCGCTCACACCCATCTGCTTTTTGTCGTCCAGACGAGGGGACCGTGGGCAACACAGATGATGAACAGGAGTGGGGAGAGCCGACTGGGACCCGTTCCTCCAGTTGGGGGGGGGAACCCCAAAGTGTCACGTCATCAGTTTGTCATTCCTCAGAGATTTCTCCACAGTTTACGCAAAGAGGTCTCTGCCCACAAGGTGCTTGCAATCTGTCCTCGGTGGAAGCGGACATGCCATCAAACATACTTTAATTCTGGCCACCTTGCAACTGGAGATGAAGATTTAGAACACTGGTTTTCTGAACATCAGGTCCACGTTCCGCTAAGACACAGAAATAATCTAGGCTGGATGCAAAGGAGTTTCAGGAAGACAAAAATTCTAGATTGATTATTTGAGAGGGGCATGTGCCCAGTTGAGTCTCCTAGCAGCAAAATTTATTCCCGACAATACTGCTGCAATTTCTTATTTATTATCTTCCTTTAATTATCCTGCAGCTACTGCTGCAATTCAACAGTACTGTTACAGTTTTGGGCTACTAATGGGATTCTTGTGTTGTTGTTTACTCCTTAACAATACCACTGTAACATTCATGTCCTTAAAATTTAGCAGAAATGGTCAATATAGTGACTGACGTTCTGTAAACGTAGAAAGGTCCTGCTCAGGAAATGTGGGCTTTCTGTGTCTGTAGTGGTAGAACTCAAGTCCTTAGATAGAGTGGTGAGTAACACACACAGAGAAATAGAGAAACCCGCTTTTAAGGATTAACTGACAGCTGCATAGAGAACATGAGTTCCCAAAGAAGATGGAAAGAATAGATCAGCATATTTGTTTGGATGATGATGATGATGATGATGATGATGATGATGATGATGATGATGATGTCTTAGAACTGTATGGGATCCCATGGATCATGGGATCCAGCCCCTGTCAAGGAGGCCCAGTGGAGAATCGAACTTCCAACCTCTGGATGCTTAAACCCTTTTCAAGGTTTTCAAAAGTGCATTACCATTCTCTTCCTCTGGGGGGCATTTCTGGGATTCTGCAGCTGGCCCAAGGCCACCCAGGCTGGCTCTTCTCCCAAAGAGACCCCGTGGGGGAATCGAACTCCCAACCTCTAGCTCCACAGCCAGATCCCTAAATCACTAAGCTATCCATTACAGTTTCCCTTCAGCTACCTTGCGGTCTCTTACCAAAATCAAGCTGTCGAGGCCTTTCCCGTTAAAAAACCCTTTCCTGCTTTAGCCCACCCGATTTCCTATTTCATCTTGAGCCAGTTAGAAATCAGAAAGCAAACTATTGCAAAGTCATGTCGCCACAGAGCCAGGACTTGGGGGGCGGGGGTAGTTGAATCTCCAGGATTTTTTCCTCCCCCATCAGGAAAAAGGATGGCCTTATCTGCCACCAACCAAAGACTGTCAATCCCAGCCGATCTTAATTGCCAAGATCACAGTGGTGGCGCAGGGAGGTTTATTTCCCATTAACAGTATTCAAGAACTACCTCTGTTGCCACGCCAAGGATTCTGTGGTTCTTTCGTCTTGAACGGGCAGTTGAGATCCATTAGCTTTACAAAAGACCAGCTCCGACCGAGGATGGAAACGCCTAACATTTGTTTGCCGATATGACCAGCTATTGGCCTTTCTGCACACGCTGGACGGCATTTTTGAACTCTCCTGGGGTCACGGAGCCCCAGTGAGCACGTCCTCTTGCAAATCAAGTGATGCCAAATACTCAGTCAATTCTCATTGACCCTCAGCCCATCTTTGCTTAAGCCCGGGAGAATTTTCTTCAGATGATCATAGCAGTTCCTGGACTTGGGCTGGGCCTCTTCTCACATTTATATCCAGGAGATTGGTGATTAATGTCATTGACTTTTTGTTCTCAAGGGGACGGATGGCTCTCGGCCAAGGCAGGCAGGTGCCAAGATCAGCTGGCCTTGTGGCCATTATACTGCAGTGTCCCCATAGAGAGATCTGGGTTGTGGGGGGTGGGAAACTGTTCTTTCTTCTTTCAAATCCTTGAGTGCTGAATTGGACTGTACTTGTGAGCGCCCCCCCCCCTTTTAAATGGTCTGATGGGCTCCGTATTCTCATGGAATAAGGCCAGCAGCCTTGGTTGCTATATGGGTCCTTGGAATCTTGCTTTTTCTCGATCCTTAACTGAATAGCTCAGGGGTTTAGGTCTCTGGCTGCAGAGCCAGGAGCTGGGGGTTTGATTCCTCACTACACCTCCTGAAGAGAATAGTCAATCTGGGTGGCTTTGGGCAAGTGGCACCCCCCCAGGGCACCCCCCAGAAGAAGGGTCAACCACATTGGAGTCTCTACCTAGCAAACTCTGAAATGGGTCACCCTAAGTCAGAATTGACTTGATAACTCAATGATTAATGTTATATCCCACATACAATATAAATCCTTTGCTTTTTCTACACTTAGTGATTGTATTCATGTCAGTTCACGGCTGTGACCTTCACAGTGTATGGATGGATCAAAGCTTGCACACGTTCCTTTAAAAAAAATCTAAACTTTCTCAAAATCCCCAGCATGGCCACTGTCTCAGTGAAGGCCTGAGCAACCGTCACAAAGGCACACAGGGCTGTTTTCTCCCAAATGCCAGAAATAATCATTATTTTAATACATGCAGATAGAACCACCCGCCAGATATTTTACGATGTTGGCATAAGGCTGTGTAAATTGTGTAAATTGTTGTGATTTATTGCTGCTAATTGATGGACTGCCCAACCAGGTCCTGGTGGTGTGCCTGGTCATGTGTCCAGTTGTTCAAAAGAGAAGCAACCCTGCACGCCATCAATTAGCTTCCATTAGCTGCTGCAACTGATACAGAATTGATACCCAACGCAACAGGATTCAGGCCTGAGGCAGCTGAAGGATGCAACCAAATCTCCCCAACAGGGAAATATTCTTATTTAGACAGTCTTGGACATGGACCACACTCTGCAGCTCCTGAGGACTGGGAACTTGATGCCGGTAAGAAAAGAAAAACCTGCTTTTCTAAAATCAGGGTGGGGAGAAGCCACCCACCTCAGAAGTGACTGGATGCTATGCTGGGCGGGGGGAGGGCTTCTCTCCGGAAGGGAGGATAGCCGGTGGTGATGGCCGTTTCACAGACACCCCCCAGGTTTCCGCGCACCCGACTCCAAAGCACATAATTCCCTCCCCCACGGGCTCCTTTAAGGCAGGACTCTGAAATGGGCTGAGAACGCAACAGGATTCTGTGCCGGGGGACGCTCGGCAAAGCCCAGCCCTTCTTCCCTCCTTCCCTCCTCCTCTCCCTCCTCTCCCTCCCTCCCTCGCTGCCCGTCCGTCGGTGACATTCAAGCGCGAGGAGATGATCCTGGGAGGCTTCGGCAGCCGCAGCAAGAGAAGGAGGCAGAGGCGCTCGGGAGCCGGTGGAGGGTCCGGAGGCGGCCGCCCTCGACCTGGGGGCCGAGACCCCCACCAAGGCTGAAGGAGGGCT